ACCAAGGACGCTTGGAAGACACACCTTATCGAAGACCACCGAAGTACTGAATACTGGGTCTGTTTTCCTTGCGGGGATGACACAAGGCTTCCCACGGTAGCCGACTTCATCTCGCATACCAGACAGGAACACCAGGAAACCATTTTGGAAGACCAGATACCGCTTCTAGTACCCATAAGTAAACGCTCAGTCCCTGCAGATATCGCTACATGCCCGTTGTGCGATGCGTGGCCCTCCAAGGAGTGTGGCGAATTCGATCGGGAAGCATTAATAAACCACATCGCCGAAGAGGTTCATGCTTTTTCGCTCAGAGCCTTACCTTGGCCACCTGAATATGATGAGGGTTGCAGTACGGAGCGGATGGGTGTCGCTGTGCATACTGTGCAGGACTGGCTTTCGAGATGGGGTCTGATGCGTCCCAATGCGGAAGAGCGCCTATCATATGAATGTCAGCAGAAAACGTCAGATCCCTTGCACTATTTCACAAGTCACCCATACTTTGCAGAAAGTGGTCGGGACGATAGCAGCAGGCAAGGCGACTCCGACGATTCCAAACAGAGTAATCTCAGATCCCTGCAGAACGAGGGATCATTGACCTTTACAGACTTCGAGGAAGGTCGTATCGCACAAGATGAGACTAATGAATGGAGCTCTTCGCTGCTGACATCCGAGGACCATTCAACGTCCGTCGATACAGCTACCTTCTCGCCGGACGGTAAGGTGCTGGCGTCTGCATCAAATGATAAGACGGTCAAGCTGTGGGATCCAGATACTGGGCGGCTATTGCAGACGCTCGAAGGCCATTCTAGCAGAGTTAATGCAGTAGCTTTTTCACCAGATAGAAAAGTGCTGGCGTCAGTATCTGGGGACGAGACAATCCGGCTGTGGGATGGGTGGTCGGGAGTGATGCTCCTGACGCTCGAGAGCCATTCCGCGTCCGTCAATACAGTTGCATTCTCGCTGGACGGCAAGGTGCTAGCGTCTGCATTAAATGATAAGACGGTTAAGCTGTAGGATCTAGATACTAGGCGGCTATTGCAGACGCTTAAAGGCTATTCTGGCAGAGTTGATGCTGTAGCTTTTTCACCGGATGGAAAAGTGCTGGCGTCAGTATCTAGGGACAAGACAATCCGGCTGTGGGATGGGTGGTTGGGAGTGATTCTTATGACGCTTAAGAGCCATTCCGCGTTCGTCAATACAGTTGCATTCTTGCCAGACGGTAAGGTGCTGGCATCTGCATCAAATGATAACATGGTCCAGCTGTGGGATCCACATACTGGGCGGCTATTGCAGACGCTCAAAGGCCATTCTGGCAGAGTTAATGCTGTAGCTTTTTCACTGGATGGAAAAGTGCTGGCGTCGGTATCTGGGGACAAGACGATCCGGCTGTGGGATGGGTGGTTGGGAGTGATTCTCATGACGCTCAAGAGCCATTCCGCGTCAGTCAGTACGGTCGCATTCTCGCCAGACGGCAAGTTTCTGGCGTCGACATCTGGGGACAAGACAATCCGGCTGTGGGATGCCATGTCGGGAGCGATGCTGCAGATCCTAGAGGGCTCTCCAGACATATTTGCCTCACAGTCCGCTCACTCGAGGCTTATGGAATGGATCTCAACTACAGATTACCCCGCCCAGCAATCCGATATCATTAAGCACAGACATGAAGGGACAGCGCAGTGGTTTCTGGACGCACCTGAGGTGGCAAGGTGGCTCAGTGAACCCAAGAGCACCCTCTTCTGCCCTGGAATCCCAGGAGCCGGCAAAACTATAGTAGCTGCAGTTGTGATCGAACACCTCTTGCATTCAGTACAAAACAGCTCATATGGAGTTGCTTATGTGTACTGCAACTACCAAACTCAGTATCAGCAGGATGTTTTAAGTATGCTGGCAGCCATTCTTAAGCAGCTTGTGCAGGGTCGAACATTAAGCGTGAAGCCTGTAGAGACTTTGTATCAGATACATGCAAACAAAGGGACCAGGCTATCACTTAGGGAGATCTTTGACGCTCTCCAAGATGTTATTATACATTACCCTTTCGTTTATATTGTAATCGATGCTCTAGACGAATGCAGGCGTGGTAACGGCATTCGCAGCGAGTTTTTAGCCAGATTGCGAGATCTGCAGGCTGTGGGAGATATTCGTCTAATGGTCACCTCGCGTTTCATACCAGACATTGAAGACGAATTCGACAAAGCGCTGAGGCTAGAGGTGCAGGCTAGTGATGAGGATGTAAGGTGCTTCGTGGCGGGCCAGATATTTCAACTGCCTCAATGTATCCAGCGTGACCCTGCATTGCAAGACATGGTGCAAGAAAAGATTGTGCAGGCGGCGGACGGAATGTATGCTTCGTTCGATTCGTGTAATGTTGTTAGCTTACATTTATTAGGTTCCTTCTAGCTCGCCTACATACAGAGTCACTACGAGACCGCCGCACAAAGCAACAAGTGATGAAAACTTTAGATAACTCAAGCACACTTCATAAGGCGTACGAAGAGACCCTCCAAAGAATCGAACACCAGCCAGACGACGATCGAGCACTAGCCAAGAAGGTCTTATCGTGGCTTTTATTCGCAAAACGGCCGCTTACTATAGCTGAAATCTGCTGTGCTTTAGCAGTAGAGCCAGGCGAAACAGAGCTTAATCCCGATGACGTCCCTGACCTAGAAGACCTGGTTTCCGTATGCGCCGGCCTCGTTGTTATCGAACATGAGAGTGGTATCATCCGATTAGTACACCATTCTACCCAGGATTTCTTTGAAATCAATGGACAGTGGCTTCCTAGTGCTGAGCTAGACATCACCTCAACCTGCCTTACGTATCTATTATTTGATACATTTAGGCATGGGAGCTGCTCTACTAACAAAGAGCTTGAAGAGAGGCTGCAACAGAACGTGTTCCTAAACTATGCTGCTACCTACTGGGGCGAGCATGTAGTAACAGTTCAAGACGAGCTGTGTGAGCTAGCATGCTCGTTCCTGCTTAGTAGTGGGTCGTTTCTATGCGCTGTACAGGCATTATCTATCTCGAATTCCGAACCCGAGAATTATAGTCAACGCCTTCCCAAGGGAATGACCTGCTTACACGTGACGGCACAATTTGGGTTAGACCTAATATCTGAGAAGCTATTTGAGAAGCGAGAGAAGGAGATGGTGATTATACTTAATAGTGAAGACAGCGAGAGTCGGACGCCTTTGCTTGTTGCGATAGCATACGGGCATGATGGGATGGTGAAGCTACTACTTGACAGGGGCGCCGACGTCAACGCGCAGAGTGGAAGGTACGGCACCGCATTACAGGCGGCTTCATCTAAAGGCCACGAGCAGGTGGTCAGGCTACTACTGGACAAGGGCGCCGACGTCAACGTGCAAAGTGAAAAGTACGGCACCGCAGTACAGGCAGCTTTATCTAAGGGCCACGAGCAGGTGGTCCAGCTACTGCTTGACAGAGGCGCAGACGTTGTTATGCTAAGAGAAGACTACGGTAACGCACTCCAGACGGCCTCATCTGGAGGCGATGAGTAGTTGGTCAAGCTGCTACTCGACAAGGGCGCAACCGGTCGTGTTTAAGATAATGTGTTCCTTAGTACTCAGGCAGCAATCTACATTCTCTTCTATCCATACATATGAACACGCCCCAGCCTCTCAAAACAATGCTAGCCATTCTATAACTCTAATCGTGCTATAATTCTAGCCATTCTATAATTCTAACTATTCCATATTTCTAGCCGTTCCATAAGTCCAGCCGTTCTGTCCCAGGACGAGTGTTCTCCCAGGACTGGCGTTCCAGGACGAGCGTTCTAGGTCTATATCCGTCCCAGGACTGGCGTGCGAGGACCAACGACCTGGAACCGCTCTCCTAGAAATGGAACTGTTCCAGGACGAGTATTCTAGGATTATGCCTGTCCCAGAACTAGCGTGCCGGTGCCCATACCAACTAATAAATCAATGCTACGTAACGCTCCGTTTACATCAACGCTCCATCTACATCAATCAACGCTCCGTGTTTACATTTAGTGAGTGTGGCAATGAAAGTTACAAACGTACGAGCTGGGGTTGCAATTCTGTTAGTCAAGTCTGCTCAGAACGTTTCAGCTAATTACCTGCAAATCCAAAAAGACGCTCCGTTTACTCCACCCCGGCTATGTCCAGTAATCCAAAATCAATCCATGCTGTCTATCCCGACATTAAGAAGCAATCGTAGATCTTTCAACCCGCAAACTCAACAACAAACTCGACCACTAACTCGACCACTAGTCCAACAATCGGCATCGCTGCGCTTTCGTGAGGACGACTCCGAACAACACCCATCCAACAAGAAACCCCGACTTCAAGATCCGCACGCCCCTTCCGTGGATAACATGACAGGGGGCCAGGGGCAGGGTGGAGGCCTGATAGACGAACGCACGTTTAGGGAGGTGGAGAAACTGCTCCGAGAGTGGACGAGCGTGTTCGACCAACCAGTGTAGGTTTGAACGAGGCTGAAGGGGTCTAGTGCTGTCTGCGGTGCTGATAGGACACCGTGGTGTACATCAAAGCCAACACCAACAAGAAGGTGTTTACGCAGGCCTGGTTGCCCGGTAGAAACGGGGCTAGTAGGTATTGGAAGGACTAGAGAGGGCCTGGAGGGAATAGGGGAGGGCGGGGAGGGCAGGGAGGGCAAGCGGTACAGCGTACTTTTCTTAATTTCCTGGGATCCTACAGACCGAGCAATGGATTGTAACAGCGAGGTCAAAGCGTGGGAACTTGTTCTGTTTGGGTAGCATGTTGTACACAACCTATTCTGCAGCTACCGAGCAACACCGCTATAACGGGGGCTGTCTGTCATCAGCACGTCTTGAGAGATATACCCCATTCAGACTTCACGTGTTCAGATCACAGTCAACAGCCAAGTTATGTCAAGTTATGTCATAGAGAGACTGGTATCCGTAGAGCAGCAAGCAACATGCCAGCACTGGAGTCCTAAACCTGGACTCAAACCCCAGCCAGCACCCGACCCAAACGCCGGGAAAGAACAACACAGCCCAGCACTCCTCTACTCCCCGTCCTCACTCTCGCTCACAGTCTCCCAGTCGCTCTCGCTCCCCTCCTCGCCGGCATCCACCTCGGGCTCGGGCTCGGGCTGGGGCTCGGGCTGGGGCTCGGGCCCAAACAACTCAGCCCACAACTCCCCCTCGCCGTCCCCATCGGCACCCTCATCGCCCCCCTGAACCTTGATCTTCTTCGGCACCCTCTCACCCTCAGCCTCCGGACCACGCCGCCTCTTGCAGCGCGCCCTCGGGCTCTCCGCCACCGTCTCAGCAGCGCCATGCGCCTCCTCGTCGCTGTACTCGTCGCGGAACGCGGCTTCGTAGGCGTCCAGCGCCTCCTCGTAGGCCGCCCGCGCCTTGGCCGCTTTCCGGGCCTCTTGCCGGGCCTTTTTCCTGGCCTTGTCCTCCTCGGCCGCGAAGAGCTCGTCGAGGGAGATCTTTTCGGGGACGTCGTCATCGTCGTGGTCGTCGGCGTCGGGGGCGGCCTCCTCGGCCGCAAGCCTGGCGGCCTCTGCGATGGCGGCGGCGGCGGCGGCTGCGGCGATGTCGCCCGCTGTTTTGGCGCCGATTTTAATGGCGGGGTCGACTTCGGCGAGAAGAGAGGCGAGGAAGGACATTTTTGATTGTTTTGGTTGTTTTTGTTGGTGTTGGTTGGTTTGTTGGTTGGTGGTAGAAGTTGTATTAGAATTGGAGCTTGCTTGCTTGTGTGATATGGAATGGACGTAGAATAGGAGTTGAGATTTGGAGAAGGGACAGGAGACGAGGAGACGAGGTTATAATGGAGTAGTTTCTCCCGTCTCGCTCGCGGAGAGTAATCCTATTGTTCTATAGCATCTCTATTGAAGATCATATATTGCTATTGTTCGCTACGAGGACAATAAGGGTTCGCGCGCGCAAGTGAAACGGGCTGGGATATTTCAAAGATATTGAGATGAAACGATGAAGTGAAGAGAGGTGAAGGTGAACCAGACCACTCACTAACATTGAGCACAACAGAATCACAAAAGCTCGGCTAATAGTATGCATTTATACAAAAGACATACAAAACTCCAGAGTACGAGGCCACTTGACGCCGTGCGAAGCCTGGCACGCCCAAATGTCAACCGTGTATATATGAATCCCATATTCCTTTCCAAATGCCGCTTGCACCTTGCAAATCATGTGGAAGAAAATTTGAAAAACAAACGGGAAACGCCTTCCGGACGCCTTGCCGTCTAGCTAGAAAAGATATACACATAGACTATGATTTTTTGCAACGAAGACGCTAGCATGTTTCCTGCAGTGAAGAGAATTTCGCAAAGCAAGAAGGCAACAAGGGATGTTCGTGGAGGCGAGGGCAGTGACGGAGAGACACAGAGAAACAATTCAATGGCAACTACCTATGCCCAAGAGTGAGCCAGACTAGTCCACCTTGATAGACTTGTAGATCTTCAGAACGAACAACCAGCTAGCAAAGAAGCCGATGGTGCCTATGGTAACGACGTCAGTGATTAGGCCTTTCACAGGAATAGGGAATAATCTCACCAGTAAGAATGAAGAAGAGTAAACTCAAAAGAGCACTGTACCCCAAATATAGAACACCAGACGTCCAGCTCCCGAAGCTAACATCCTTCGCCCAATACAGCAGCGCGCTGGCAAAGACATAAAAAGCACTCGCTCCGGCGGTGCAAAAGCTCCTCCATTGCCAATGATAATTCTCTGCACATAGCAGGAAATAGATCATCAGGACCGTTACGGCGGCACTCGTCATGATCATGAGTCCGTAGCAGATGAAGAGGAACCCAAACATGTAGTAGACCTTGGAGAACCAAATAGAGTTCATGATGAAGTAGAGCTCGACGAAAATGGCGCCAAAGGGCAGAACACCAGCCAGAGCCATGGAGGGTATAGGTCGCAGGTAGCCGCCAGAGGGAGGAATTTGGCGTGGGATCTGGTTTGTGTGCACTGGTGATTCGATTACAGGTTGTTTGAAGCCAAACCAGGAGCCTGCCAAGCTGAGTGGGACACTAATGACGAACCAGATTATCACAAGGACTAGCATCGTTGTGAAGGGAACTGCTCCCGATGCACCCCGACCCCATACGAATAAGTTGAGTAAAAAGAAGGTTGCGAAGACGAGCGCGGGCAGTGCGACGGGCGTATAAAAGAAGCATAGCTTCCAAGACTCGCCGTGGAAGAACTTGTAGAGGCGCGAGGAGACATAGCCCCCAATAAAGCCAAACAGGGTGTAGAAGATGATGATGACGGTGCCGAGGGCGCCGCGATTGCTTGGAGATAGGAACCCGAGGAGCGCAAAGGCTGTACAACGTTAATCACACATGACAATCTCGCAACGAGCGCAACTAACCAATTGTCAAACCGGCCATCATAAAGAGCTGTGCGCCATTGCCAACTATGACAGCTAGGAATAGCGGGTTCTTCGGGGGGCGGAAAACGTCACCGTGGACCAGCTTCCAGCCAGAGTCCTCCTGCACGCCATCCTCCATGGTTCCATTAGCGCTAAAGTCATCGAGTGCGAGCTGATCGAGGCGGTTGTATCGGGCAATGTCCTTCTTAAGAGTGCGCACGAGAATGGTGCTGACCATGCCAATCAAGAAGACTACAATGACGGCCGAGTTGACGAGAGAGAACCAGTGGATTTTGGCATCGTAGACATGCAGATATTTGTCCCATCGGGTTGCAAATGGGGTTGAGCTGAGCCTCCAATACACGCCATACGTGAAGGTCACCTCGGTATTTCCATTCTCAACCAGCACGAGAGGCGCAGTCTGGTCTCCACAGGTTGCCTGTTGCCCTTCGCCGTTGTATTTGGACTCGCGGAAGGAGAATGGGGATAGCAGGACACCGACGACACGGAAGCTATCTGGACCAGCCTCGTGGTAATCAATGAAGATATCGTAGTGGTTGTTGAACCTGGGCTGGTCGCCCTCCACGGTGCCCAGCGCAAATCCCGGACTATAGAAGGGGTCGTCGTCGCCGACTTTGACCAGCTGCGCGGCCGGCAGCCCGTCTATCAACCAGTTCAGATCATAGCCTTGGAATATTCTGCTGTTGACGAACTTGCTGTCGAGGGCGGCAAACGTCTGGGTCGAACACAGGGCTTTGCACGACTCGTTTTGACCCATCTTCAGCTCGAAGGGGCTTGTCTGTATGCGGTCTCCGAACAATATGCTCCCCAGACTTTCTCGAATATACTGGGGGCCGCCCTCGGGCCGGCAGAAGTGGAACGGCGGGTGGTAGTAGTCGAAGGAGAAGACGGAGCGGAGCTTGGGATCGCTCTGGGAATTGGCAGGCGTCAGGTGGTTGACAAATAGCGGGACGGTGTCGCCCGTCTTGTAGGATGTCGGCGCGACGCCGGGGAAGTAGAATGCTGAGCCTGGCGACGGCGCAAGGGCGAGCAGCGAGGCCACGAGGGCGCCCAAAGGCGATGCATGGGAGCGCCGCATGGCTTGGGCGTGGGGCAGGAGATGTGCGAGGGCGGAGGAGCTATGGCGGCGGGCGCTGCGGTGCCAGCAAGAAATGTCAGCGCAGGTCTCGTCAAGGGGAGGGCCGGCAAGGCACCTTCCAATTGCCCGCGGGCTGCGACAGCGGAAGACTGGCGCAGAAACGAGGGGAGAAGGACGGGGGTGCGCGGAGAGGGATGGGCGGGCTGTTCGGCGTGGCCCAAGGCGCGTACGGGAGGGGCGGTCGTGGTGGTTGTGGTAGAAATGCGGGCGGTGCTGGGTCCTTCACTGTGTCGCTGTGTCGCTGTGAAAGCTGTCCGCTGTCCCCTAGCTTGGGAGGCCGCCGCGCCAAGACGACTAAATCCTCCGCGCCAATGGCATCAACACACCAGCAGCGGTCTGTATACATGTTCACCCAAGGCAGACGGCGGGCGTGCAGATTCAGTGGTAGTCAGGACGTGCAGATTCAATGGTAGGCAGGACGTGCAGATTCAATGGTAGTCATAGGAGCTGGATATTCAGTCGTGCACACTCGAGCCCCCCGCTAGTTCCTCGATCCCTATTTACATCATTCGTGATGTCCCCGGTACGCCGGAGCGATATCAGACCTCCTCACACACACACACACACATGCGTCCCGACTAGCATGCGAAAGAAAACCCAATCAATGCGCTGTTGATATCAAGAATCCAAAGAACACCGGCAAAGCCACGAACAGAGGAAACGCGTCCGGTCAAACGAGGCCGTCGTACAGCGACAGCGCCGATACAATGGTCTCGTCGCGCTTGGAGCCCTCCTTGAACTCGGCCATGTCCAGGCTGCCGTTCTCGTCCTTGTCCATCATCCGGAATATCTTGCGCACCCGCTTCTCCGGCGTGTCCTCGTCCTCGGGCAGCTTGACCATGGAGCCGACCTGGTGCCATCAGCGGATTACGTCCTCTCGCGCGCATTACGGACGTACCATTTTGTATATAGCCTCGACAATGGCGAGCATCTCCTCGTAGCTGATCTTGCCGTCGCCGTCGATGTCGTACAGCTGGAATGCCCAGTCGAGCTTGTCCTCCATCTTGCCACGGCTAGTGACACTGAGGGCGCAGATGAATTCCTTGAAGTCAATGGTGCCCGATTTGTCTGCGTCGAAGACATTGAAGACGTAGTCGGCAAACGACGACGGATCGCCAAAGGGGAAGAATTGCTTGTAGATTTTTTGGAACTCCTCCTTGGTGAGCATGCCGGACGGGCAGTCCTTGAGGAAACCTATCGCGGTTCAGCGCCATGCAGACATGGGCAGGCCCACGGGTCCGTACCTTTATACCATTGTTGCAATTCCTTCTTGTCGAAGTGCGTCGCTTTCTGGAGGTCGGCCAGCTCCTGCTGGGACAGTTTGCTCTGGCTGTGGTAGTGCACAATCAGCTTCTTGTCCTTGCACACGATGTGTTCCACGGGGCTCCGGGAGGACAGCGCTTCCTCGAAGGACTTGACGCCGTTGGACAAGGCCACATTCCGCATTGCTCTGTAGCGGGCGTATCCCGGGTCGTCATGGTGGGGTATCTCGGCGTGGTGCTGGCGCGCAAAGTTGAAGGGCGGGTGGTCCTGTGCGAGGAGCGGCACCTCGCGCGTGCCTGCTGGCATGTGGGGCGGGGACCTGTCGCGGGCGCGGTCGCGGTAGTGGCTATGGGCGTGGGCGTGGGCGTGGGCGTGGGCGTGGGCGTGGGCGTGGGCGTAGCAATCGTCGTCTGGCCGCGAGTTCATGGCTGCGTCGAGCACGGCCGACGGCGGGGGTGGTTGAGTCTGGCAGAGCGCGGGCTGGGCGGGGAGGCCATGGCGGCGCGGGTTGGGCGGGTTTATCGCCTTCACTTGCTCCCGGCGGGTCGCGGAGTGAATGGAAGGTGTCGTCCAGAGCTGAGGTCGTGGCCGGCGGGCGCGCCACTGGCGATGCGGGAGGGAACCGGGGACGAAGAAAGCGCGGACTTACGATTTGCCCATGTCTCGAGCAC